GGATGGATGGATGGATGGATGGATGGATGGATGGATGGATGGATGGATGGATGGATGGATGGATGGATGGATGGATGGATGGATGGACGGACGAACAGATGGACAGATGGACGGACGGACGGATGGATGGATGAATGGATGGATGGATGGATGTTTTAATGATTATCATTTCAATTTTATAGATGTGCTTTTTAAAAAAAAGCCCATCTAGGGACAAGTGCTGTGAATTAGCTACCACTATTGCACGATGGCGCAAGCATGGGACTGCTGTTTCATTCAGTTTGTCTATGTCGATGTGTGTCTGTCCCTATCAAATAAACTTAAATGAAATGAACACATCATCATCATGTTGTCCTCTGCTCAGGTAGACACACTACACAGACTGCAGATGTTAGTTTTGTAGTAAACACTAGATGGCAGCAAAACCTGGAGAAAAGCAGGTCCAGAGTCTCTGCAGAGCTAAAGGAAGGACTGGAAAAATCTGTCTGTTCGTCCATCCATCCATCCATCCATCCATCCATCCATCCATCCATCCATCCATCCATCCATCCATCCATCCATCCATCCATCCATCCATCTTGGTAAAAAAGCAGAGTTTGTGTGTTTCTGTGGTTCTCTATATTAAAAGTGTGATGAAAATGAGAGTCATGAGCTCAGACTGTTCCTGCAGCTACACGTCCTTTAGCTGCAGCTCATCTAAAATGGACCGAGGACAGAGCTGTCCTGTGGTTTTAATGGACGCTGTAGAGAACATGGATCCAAAAAGAGAAGGAAATGTAAATATTTATAAAACCTTTTCACACACAATGTGGGCGAAGGTTAACTGTGTGTTCAAGCAGCTGGAGTGTCTTTGTTTTAACTGTCTGCTTCGGTTTGTTTTACCCTACCTTGGTGGGGAAGTAGCGGCTGGTCTTGAACTCCTTGAGGAATGCAGACATGAAGACGGTGGTGAAGAAGAGCACCACYCACCAGAAGAGGACGTCTGGGATGAAGGGTCCATGAGGACCACAAGCCCTTCCCTCAAACTCCCCGTGCAACAGCTCGCACTCCTACTGGCCCCAGAGCACATGGTGACGATGAGGATGATGGGAGACAAAATGGTGATGAACACATCATTTCTGAATTAGTGAACCCTTSATTACTGAATGAATTTAGCAGAGGTGTGCACTGCAAACCATAATCAGCTAACTAAAAATATAGCTTTTTATTAAAGGGATCCCCGATTAGTTGTAACCTTAGACTTTATATGATAAATATATATTTTAACTGTAAAATAAAGACTGTAAAAATACTGTAGGATATTCAGTTTTTATAATTTTTAAACTAAAAGTTAAAATACGTGGACGGGGCCATTTTACTTACACGCACCATTCTGGGTAAATGATGACGTGGAAAGGTCATCGGTGCGAGGCTGCTAGCGAGCTATATCCACCCNTGTTACAACTAATCGCGGATCCCTTTAACAATTAAACTACTAAACATGAAAAAAATAACAACATGCTAATGCTAAACAGCTAAAAATTATCTAGCACTAACAGCTAATCGCTGACCGCTAAAACGACTGTCATAGTCTGTGTCAGGTCTTCGTCTCCTTCCAGCTGCAGACTGGTGGCTCTGACACAAACCTGTTGATGTTAGCTTGTTAGCTGTTAGCTGACTTAAAGATAGAAAAATCATAACTTAGCAGAAACTAATCAGTCGCTAAACAAAATATTAGTTCTGCTATTAGCTGTTAGCTTATTAGCAAAACCATGCCCACAACTGAAATTTAGCATAAACCTTTACAATTTCTTGTAAAAWTGCTTCTTGACAAATCAAAGTGTGGATGAAGTTGGAGACGACCTCCTGTCAGAGACCCTAAACTTTCAAATTATTTTCATTGGTTGTTGGGCTGGTGTACTTAGTTTGTGCTTTCTGTCTTCCTTTAGCTATTTAACAAGCTAAAAAAATTTCTGGTGTGTTTTGTTTCTTTAACAAGCTCACTATTTAGTTTTGGGTTTTGTTACCTTGACCTCCAACATGGTCCAGTTAACCTGTGAGGCTGTTATGTTTCTCTCCTCCCACAAGTGTAAAGTCTCGTTGCTCGGGTTCTTGGGCTCCACACATGTACACCTGTTAGAGAAAAGAATATTACTATTATAAACAATAATACATGTATAAACAAGACCAAAAACCCATTCAGTGCTGGGTTTAATGGCTTTCTATTAAAGCGAAAGTTTAGCTCTTTGGATAAACAGATTAGCTCTGACGGGACTGACGAGCTAACAGCTAATCCTAGCAGACCAAAGTGGACTTACAACAGCCGACAACTTCAATCTACAATTCTTCAACGTGGTTCATGTTATGCTTGTTAACCTTCTGTTTTCCCTGTTTATTTTTGTATTTCAGGTTACCCATTCCACAAATTTAGCTTTACTTGAACAATTCATATCATCATTTCGGGTCTCATTAAAAATGAATGCAGTTCTCTTCAACTCTTTTAAAACCTGTTTTTATTCTAATGTTTTGTGCTAATTTTGCCCAGTGTTTTGATTTTTAATGTTTCTCTAAGTTTGGGATTTATTTGGCATTTTCTAGGATTTTACAAACTATTCACTTTTGCTTTTTAGCTAGCATTTCCTGCTTTTCGCTGWCATTTTTCTACTTCTGGTTTGTAGTGTTTTGCTTAAGGTGAATTGATTTCTGTCATTAAATCTGGGGACATTTCCAGACAAAAAAGAATTACCGTATTTATTCGTGTATAATACGATCTCATGTATAATGCGATCCCCCTTTTTTGGGCTTAAAAAGCATAAAAAAATTTAATCCTCAAACTACCTCCATTTCATACAGACTTCAAGATTTATCAGCCTTTGCAGTCTTTATACATATCAGTAAAATGATCATTGGACTGTTCTTTTATTTTAACAACATATGTACTAAAAGGTATTTTGACAACAAATATACAGTATATCAGCTGTAGCAGCATCATATGAATTCTGGCATTTTACACATAGTCCACCAGGATGCTCCAACACAAAGGTCAGAGACTTCACATGAGATTTGGGCCATCCTCTGGGGGAAAAGCAGATTACTTCCTACTCACGAGCGCCCCCTCTGGTAGAGAAACTTTTTTCAGGGATACAAACTTTTTCAGAACACCGGTAGACGGCAGCCATTACAGACGAATGTGTTTGTTGTTGTTCGAGGAGCGGCTCGGTCACACGCTAATGTCATTAGTTCGTTATCATTACTAAGCTGCAGGACGGCTTCTCCCCCTTTTTTTCCACACCATGTCGCCTGCCTGGATCTGTTATTTTCTCGCTCTGAAGCACAGAGGAGCGTCAGCTGCTTTTTACGACGCGGTCTCATTTCCAGACTCAGGCATTTTGTGAATGAAGCCGATATTTCAGTTAAAATACATAAGTAAAAATATTTTTCCGAGTATAGTACTACCCCCCAACTTTATGGATGATTTTATGGATTTCATTTCACGTATTATACTTGAATAAATATGGTAAATGTAATCAAGATGAGATGAAGAAATGTGGACAGTACAGTTTAATTTATTTTGACATGTTTAATAATATAACTACAATCCCCTCCAAACACATTAAATAGATTAAAACAATGAAGTCTTATTAAATTTACAACTTAAGATTTTTGTTTCCTGGTCTGTGTATTCACTGTCTTTGTTGATGGTGTCTGATCATTTTTCTCTTTTCCTCGTTTTTTTCCAGTTCTTTCCTCACCTGTTTACCTGTAATCAGCTCCTAGCCCAGGTGCTGTCAGTGACCTCCTCCCTCTGTTCTAACTGGTCTTTTTGTCACCACTCACATGCAGAATCAATGGGCCTCATGCAAGAACCTTTCGTATGCACAGATTTGTTCTTAAGTTGTGCGTACG